TTACCGGTTTTCAAAGCACGATATTTCTTACGGATCGATTCGCTCGTTTTCGCAATTTCCTTCGCCATCCTCTCGCCATCTTTAATCTCTGAGTCGCTAATTTCTGTGTAATCTGACGTCACCATTACGACGTTTCCTCGTTAACGCACAAACGACAAATGGTGACGTTACGGTATTGCAAAATCGTTAAATCCTCGTCGATATCGTCCATTGGTCATAGAACTGTCCTTGTCTATCACTACGAAGCCATATTTTTGCTGCCAACATTCGCGACACAGCGCACAAAAATCTTCGTATGTCATATCAGTGTTCACGTGATCTTTGTACACGTGTTTCAGATTGGTACCATCCTGCTTGAAGAGAATCAGCAGATTCGCATTATCCCGTATAAGATGCTTAGGTATCTTTGCATACGTCTGACAGAGGTAGAAACAGTCGACGTTCGAGTGACGACCCATAGCAAAGTATTCTCTTATTGTATCTTGTTTGTCACACGCCACGTCATCGAAAACAAAAATGGAATTTGGCAGCGCTTCGTTTGGCGGAAGGACATCGATGTTATTGGAAAATGTAAAAAAGCCAATTTCGTCTATCGACGCAAACAAATTCTCCAAGAAGCGATATTTCGGCTGTTGCAGTGATTTCGAGTACACGTACAGATTCTCGAAACGCAGACCGTGTGGGCTCTCCAGCAGGCTCACCAACACATTCGTCTTACCACAATTCGAGGGACCACATACGATACCGCGTATGGTAATCGGTAACAAGTGGCCGTGCTTACGTATGATATTTTCGGACGCTACTCGCATTCTTTCATCGAAATTTTTCACGTGTATCGGTGTCCGCTGTCGTATGAACCGCATGTCGCTTCAAAAATGCTTTTCATTGGCACGCGGCAACTATTTATAGGGAGGCGCCGAATCGAATCCGTTCAGTCTCCAAAATGTTTCTCCTACTGTTGGATACTCATGATATTCGAGACCTAACCTCCGAACAGTTGAAATATATACCGAAGATTGTTCTATTGCGCGAGTTTTCGAAGCACATTGACGTTTTGTGGGACAGAATCCCGGAACATATAAGGGCCGACCCACAGGTTCGACAGTATCGTCGGTGCCTGGAACATTATAATCGTCCGTGGCAGCAAACGCACATCGACGGTCCAGCGCCGTTGATTAGAGACTGTGCTGAATGTCAGCGTCGTCGAAAACAGTAAAAATCGGCAATAGTCTATTAAATCGTGCCATTAACGCGCTTCCTATCGAACTGCATATCCCCGGCTACCAGTTTTGCGGGCCGGGTACACGCTTGCGGACACGATTGGCCAGAGGTGATCGGGGTATCAATCCGCTGGATGCGGCGTGTCGCGAGCACGATATCGCATATTCTCGAAGCAACGATCTTGTCGAACGTCACGTGGCAGATAACGTACTCGCTGACAAGGCGCGAGAACGTATAGTCGCGAGAGATTCCACTCTCGGTGAGAGAGCTGCCGCTACAGCCGTTTGGGCAGCTATGAAGGCTAAGGCAAAAATCGGAATGGGCATGAAAAAGAAGCGAAGCGCGTCGAAGAAGGAAATATTACGAAATCGGATACTTCCAATAGCAAAGCGGGGTGGAATTCTACCTATTCTCCCGCTGCTGGGAGCGCTTGGATCGCTAGTTGGTGGAGCGGCGGGGATCGCAAAAGCTGTAAACGATACCAAGGCTGCGCAGCGTCAGCTGCAGGAGATGCAACGTCATAATCGCAGCATGGAAGGTCGTGGAATTTATCTCGCACCATACAAACGAGGAAAAGGTGTCATGAGAGGGAAAAAAAAAACGTCGAAAAAATAATAAAAATGCCTACGGGTGTCACCACCAATGTACAATTGGAACAATTGGCGAAACGTATGCGTATTCCGTTCTTCAGAGGCGTTTTCATGCGCGACGTACTGCCTACATCGCCGCGCGTAAACGAGAGTGGAATCGTAAATTTGGATGACGTCGAGGGACCCGGTACTCATTGGGTAGCGTACGCGAAAAGAGGCGATCGCGTGATATATTTCGATAGTTTTGGTAATCTTCGACCACCCAGCGAATTGGTGCGATATCTCGATAATAATACAATTGAGTACAATCGTACGTCCTATCAACGTTACGATCAGAGCATTTGCGGACAACTGTGTCTACGTTTCCTGCAGACAGTTAACAGCCGATTTAAGGCCCAACGTTCTGCGATCAGTGTCCAGTAATCGTTTTGGTCTCTGACGAAGATGTCGCTGACATTTACACTCACCAGCAAGAGTAGCACTCTCGCGGGAAGCTACTTTCCAGCCATAGATCTGAGCGATGGCGATTACGAACTCGGTTTGGCAGCCTTTGAAACCTATAACACGATACCGAATGTAAATGCGTCGAATAATAAATTTTACTTTGATGAGGACGACAAGGAAATTATAATCCCTGAGGGATCGTACGAATTGTATGCCATATACCGGTACCTGAAACGTGCAATGTTGGAAACCATCAAACCGATCACTAATAATGATGATGATGATCTCATAGTTATTCGCGCCAATGAGAATACAATGAAGTGTGAGATCAAGTGTGTTCACCGGATCAACTTTAACAAACCAAATACCATTGCATCGCTACTGGGATTTTCTTCAGATCGCATTCTACAGCCGCGACAATGGCACGAATCGAACGTGACAATCAACATTACGGATGTGAATATTATTCGCATAGAATGTAATGTGACCACCGGTGCGTACAGCAACGACAAATGTGTGCACACCATACACGAGTTTTCGCTTAATGTACCACCAGGATATAAAATATCGGAAACGCCAGCACAGATCATTTATCTTCCGATCTTTGCACGGAGCGTATCGGATTTGACGATACGTGTTGTGGATCAAGACGGTCGATTGCTTGATTTCCGCGGAGAAGAGATAATCGTCAGGTTGCACGTGCGGCGGCAATAGGACACCTGAGATGCTCGTCTTGAACGAAGCGAGTCAGACTAAATACGTGAGCGACATTTTTCCCATCAAGAGGACAATTATAAACAAGAAAAATAAGAAACTTAGCGCAGCCAACATTGCATTTTTAAGATCTTTGGGATTCATCGTGCGAAAAAATACGTGAAGATGGTCGACATTTTGAACATTGGCGGTGAGCCGATCTTTGACGATCGCATCGTCAAGATCGAGACTCACACGTACAATCCATACGCCAATACATCTTTTGGACACAGTGACGAGATACGAATACCGATACAACAGCAGGATTTGTACACGTTGCCATGTGAGAGTTTTCTCTACATCGAGGGCAAGTTTGTGCAAACGAGGATAGAAGGCGATAACCATGCAGTTGAGATGTTGACAAATAATTGTGCGGCCTTTCTGTTCGATGAAATCCGGTACGAACTCAATGGTGTGGAGGTTGACCGCTGCAGAAACGTTGGAGTAACGAGCACGCTCAAAAACTATGTATCGCTGACTCGTGACAAAAATTTATTGTTGAAGAACGCTGGTTGGGATCTCTCGAGAAACATGTTTGCGGAATACTTTAATTATTGTGTCCCGCTCAATACATTGCTAGGCTTTTGTGAGGACTACAAACGGATCGTAATCAACGCTCGTCACGAATTGATCTTGATACGTTCACGCAACGACTACAATTGCGTGGTGGGACATGCAAACTCTGACCCAAAGATTGATTTGTACAAAATACAATGGCGAATGCCTCACGTTATGCTGAAAGATGTAAACAGACTGTCTATGCTACAAGTTCTGGAAAGCGGCCGATATTTGAGCATGAGTTTTCGCTCGTGGGATTTGTACGAATTTCCACTTCTACAGAGCACGACCAAGCATTCGTGGGCTGTCAAGACGGCGACTCAGCTGGAAAAGCCGCGTTACGTCATCTTTGCTCTGCAGACTGGTCGAAAGAATTCTCTCACTGGCAATGTTGCCATATTCGACCACTGTAAGCTGACTAACGTGAAACTCTATCTCAACTCGGAATTTTATCCGTACGACGATATGAATATGGATTTCGATAAACAGAGATACGCCGTTCTGTACGATATGTATGCACGTTTCCGCAAATCATATTACGGATGTGACAACGGCAATGTGTTGTTCGATCCCATACAATTTCTTACTCATTGTCCGTGTGTGGTCATTGATTGTTCGCGACAAAACGAATCCATCAAGAGCGCCACTGTCGATGTGAGAATTGAATTCGACTGCAAGGAGAATATACCGATGGATACCACAGCTTACTGCCTCATTCTGCACGACCGCATTGTGGAATACAGTCCTCTGACCAACATTGTGCGCAAAATAACATAAAAAATGAACGTGCCTACATTTGTGGACCTGCAAGGATTTACGGTTGGAATGAGATTTCACGTAAAAGAGATAGCAATACTTGGAAATGGAACTGTTCTCTCCCATTATGTCTTTGCGAGTCCTATGCCGTGGCATCTTCTCACGAGAGCTGACAAATCGAAAGCAGCATGGTTGACGGCTAATCATCATGGTCTGCATTGGAAGGATGGAATCGTCCCGTACAACAAAGCGAAACGTTTGATCACGGACGCTGTGATCAGCGAAACCAGCGAAGAATCCAAACTCGTCTACGTCAAGGGGTACGAGAAGCGAGAGTGGCTGACGAATCTCCTCGATGCTGATGTGAGGGAAAAGGTGATCGTTGAGACTCTGGATGCGGATTACGAGGATATGGCGTCATTGGACAAACTGGATGAAACCAACATTTTACGGTGTAATAATCATTCAAAACACTGTGCGTTACAAAATGTACTGAAAATATTTAATTGGTGGTGGTGTCAGCGCCAGAAAGAATTGTGTAACCTTTGATATGTAAAATAATTTTATTTATTTAATATAATAATATATAATATATAATATATAATATATAATAATAATAATATAATATAATAATAATAATAATAAATATATCAATATAAATAAATTACTATCTGTATCTCGCCGCAATTGATTTTAATTATTATTTCTACTCCCTATTCTTCAGACTCCTCCATTTCCACCTCCCTTTCATTTACAGCCTCCTACTCCTCTTCTTCTTCTTCAGACTCTTCCATTTCCGCCTCCTCCTCTTCTTCTTCTTCAGACTCTTCCATTTCCGCCTCCTCCTCCTCTTCACTGATAAGATTAATGACTTCTATATCTGAAATCAAATTTAAAAATTAATTTAACACTTTTCTATACAGAAAAATCGAAAATTTGATTACAAATTATGAAAAAATGTTGTCTGCTTTCTCACCTATGGCCGACTGTACGCCTATTTCTTCATCAGCCTCCTCCTCCTCAGAGTCATTAATGTTAATGACTTCTATATGTTTTAAAATCAAATTTAAAAATTAATTTAACGCTTTTCTATACAGAAAAATCGAAAATTTGATTACAAATTATAAAAAATGTTGCCTGCTCTCTCACCTATGACCGACTGTGTGTCTACTTCCTCCTCCTCTTCATTAGCCCCCATCTCCTTCTCCCTTTCCTCCCATTCTTCGGTATCTAAAATTGAATTAATTATTATTTTAAAAATTTGAAAACCTGGATTATTATACAATCTATTAAAAAACTTATGTGGAGGGCTTTGTTGTAAAAAAACCTCCTTCTCCTCTCCATATACGGGTATGCGGTATTCAATATTATTCAGCATTTTTTATTATAATTTTTCTCTCTCTCTCTCTTTCTCTCGTCGCCGTGGACTTGGACTGTTTGCTGGTGACTCCTGGGAGACTTTTATATGGACCATCGCTATCTCTTTGTAACAAATATGTCTCGTTAGGAGAGGGTGGCAAATGTGCAAAATCAGCATAGCCTAACGTAATAGTAACATCATATGTCGCACATGCAGTCAACCGCATCCTCACATTGATGTATCAGCACATTACCGTTTCTTTACCGTTTCATTACCGTTTCTTACCGTTTCATTACCGTTTCTTTACCGTTTCTTTACCGTTTCTTTACCGTTTCTTTACCGTTCTTTACCGTTTACGTTACCGTTTCATTACCGTTTCATTACCGTTTCTTTACTGTTTCACTACCGTTATTTACCGTTTACGTTACCGTTTCTTTACCGTTTTTACCGTTTTTTACTGTTTCACTCCCGTTATTTACCGTTTCTTTACTGTTTCACTCCCGTTATTTACCGTTTCTTTACCGTTTCTTTACCGTTTTTTACCGTTTCATACCGTTTCTTTACCATTCTTTACCGTTTCTTTACCGTTTCATTACCGTTTCTTTACCGTTTTTTACCATTTCATACCGTTTCTTTACCATTCTTTATCGTTTCTTTACGTGACCTTTGATATGTATAATAAATTTTATTATAATATTTTACTTTTTATTATAATGTTACATTTATCGATTATATTAGTAAATTTTATGTGAAATTATTACAATAAATATTGTGTGCTCTCTTACTATTATCGGCCGACTGTTTCTCATTTTTATCCTCCCTCAGTATTCGCGATAATGCCCACCCACTATCGCGTTCCTGGAATTCCTCCAACCATGCTAATGTGGGCTCGACGATGCGTCGCTCGTACCAATCCTCTAAGTTGGATGTGGAAAAGAGTTCAGAAATTGGGAGTACAACCTGAGAACTTCAACATTTTCCTTCACTTTCCTTCACTTTGTTTATTCCCCGCAAACCGAGTTCTCTGTCACGCAAAAACTGCACCATCGATATCTTTCTTGATTTTGCCTCCATTTTAGCCGTTCAATTTGTTGCACGTGTCCCGTATCTGTTGCTGCTTGGATCTCGACTGAACTATGCGCTGATGTAATACTCATGATTTTATATGTTTCAAAACGTGCAAAATATGCATATCTCCATGATCTTCATAATGGTATCTTGTTTCACATTTTTCTGCGCATCTTGCTGTCAACCACAAATCGATGCGACAGCACTAAAATGCTACATTGTGACGCATAAGAGAGAGACAGAAATCTTACTGTTGACCACAAATTGGTGTGTTAGCACAAAAATGCTACATTGTGATGCATAAGAGCGAGATCTTACATGAATAGTTATGGACTGTACCATTGAAATAATTACCGTTCTTTACCGTTTTTTACCGTTTCATACCGTTTTTACCGTTTACGTTACCGTTTCTTTACCGTTCTTTACCGTTTCTATACCGTTTTTTACCGTTTCAAACCGTTTTTTACCGTTTACGTTACCGTTTTTTACCGTTTCATACCGTTTTTATCGTTTACGTTACCGTTTCTTTACCGTTCTTTACTGTTTCTTTACCGTTTCATACCGTTTTTTTTACCGTTTACGTTACCATTTCTTTACCGTTCTTTACCGTTTCTTTACCGTTTTTTATATAACATATTATCCATGATGTATATCATGCAAAATCTTGTCGCGGGGGCATAGTGTACGTGCTCATTAGTAATAAGAATATCATGTGTCGCATACTTTTTCTTGCGCATCTAATTGTCGAATGCATACATCGCTTGCAAAATCTTGTCGCGGGGGTACAGTGTACGTGCTCATTAGTAATAAGAATATCATGTGTCACATTCTAGTTCTTGCGCATCTAATAGTCGAATGCATACGTTTGCAGAATATTCGAGTTTGCAGCTGTGACTAAAAAATCACGCTGCGAAATGCGTGGAACGGCGCGGGGCGGCGCGGGCGGCGCGAAAACCGCCGCAAAATCCGCCGCGGAAACCGCCGCAAAATCCGCCGCGGAAACCGCCGCGAAAATCGCCGCGAAAACCGCCGCAGATCGGTAAAATGATCTATCGAAAGCAGATCGAAAAAATTATATCGGTAATTACCGATCATCGATATTATGTAAAGATGACAGTAAAAATTATGTAAAGAATATATATGTTGGTAAAAAATTAAATGTTGGTATATAATATCGGTAATAAATTAACGATCGTTGGTATTATCAGTAATTATATGTTGGTAAAAATTATATGTTAGTAAAAAATTAAATGTTATATAATATCGGTAAAAATTACCGACCGTCGGTAACATCGGTATGCCCCCCTCCCAAATTACCGACCGATGATAACCCCCTCCCCCGCGGTGACGTCATACCCCCCCCGAGGTGACGTCATACCCCCGGCCGTGGCGCCCCCCCGGTGACGTCATACCCCCCTCGCCCGCGGTACCCCCCCGCCCCTCAGCCCCCTCGGAGGACCATGGGTTAGAACCGGCCTATAATACCTACTGATTTGTAATTTACAAGATAATTTTGTAATTTGTAAATTAAAAGGATGAAACATATATACTCAAATATCACAAAATATTTATGAAGTATTTACGAAATATTTATAAAATTTATTTGAATATTTTATAAATATTTATCAAAATATTTCCTAAATATTTTTATAACATTAGCTTCAATAGATCATGAATATTTACCATAAATATTACAAAAATATTTATTAAAATATATAAAATTATTAGATATACAACTTTGCTTTCGTCGTTTTCCTATAGATGGCTTTAGCGGTAAGTGGTGGTCGAAATAAATAGATCATAGACGTCATACAATAAACCTGGGCATCTGCCAACATAACCCCAAAACAACATTAGTCGATTTATGTCTGCATCATAAAGTTATTCTCGATTGAAAATGTCAATTTACGAATTCTCGTCATTTGCGGGAGGTTTTAATTTTCTGTTTCAATATGAAGAAATCTACGGCTGAGGCTCATCGAATGCTCTCAAATACTTATGGTGAGGCCGCTATTAGTGAAAGGACGTGTCGT